AGGATTTTCTTCCAGTTTTGGTGGAGCTTCTACAAAAGACAAACACAAAAAGAAACAATTTCGGACTTTCATTCTGACAGGCTCAAGGGTACGCTACTTTAAAAAGCATAACTTTAGGGAGAACACCACACAGAACAGCACATGCCGCTGGCTTACAGCAGCCTGTAAGTCCTCACATAACATGCCCTTCACCTCTTGTGACAATGTAACTATTAGCACCTAAGGCTCAAAATTTAATATTCAAAATACAGTTAAAAACAATTATTTTTCATCACAATCACACTAAGGGCTGGGACTGATAACTCTAAATGAATTAAATTTCAAAAGTATTCTTATCAGACAACAAGAATGTTATTTTGTTTTTATATACAAAGATGAATTATTTAATTTCAGCCTGAATTATCTTGCCAGAAAAAGATTAAAGTTTTGAAGGGGAAAAACAAAAACAAAGGAAGAGACGAGAGTCTGTACAGAACGCACAAAGCGGCTGCTGAATTCTGCATGTAAAATAAGATCTTTGAAACTACAGATTCAGAGTGAAAAATACACTGCACTTGGCACCCATGTTGAAATAGCAAACCAGTTTCAGTCACGCAATAATTTTATGGTCAAGTTTACCAATCCAGCCTATTTGAATTTGTAGTCCATATTTAGGTGTGTGCAATGATGCTACCGGGATTGTCACTTTGTAATACTTGTGTCATTATGAAATGCTTTTGTTCCACAAAGACACACCTCTAGCTGCTATAACAAATAGAGAAGATGGGAAATTATATACCTAGAACTTAATTTAAGAAGAGTTCCAGTACAATGAAATCACAGCACCTGTTCTCAATATTTAGTTGCTCCAGAAGTCTGTTCAAGGCGACTTGTAAGGTCTCTGTATCTCTCTGTCTCACTATCTCACCTCTCCAACCAGCCCTTCGGTCTTTACTCAGGTGACCACACAATCTAACCCAGAGATCCCCCTCTCTCTGTAAACACTTTATGATATACAGTACACTACCAATTTGTTATCATAAACTAGTCACTTACAAAGAAAAAAAAGTCATCATTTTCTGGAAGTCCGAATCATTTACAAATGGTCTCCCTAGCCATTAACAACTAACCAACTAAACAATAACTCTTATTTCTGAAGAGCTGTACTCGCAAACCATAACTGTTTAGTCACACAGAGACTTAGGAAAATAAAAGCGAATCTTCGGAAAGTCGTCAAATAGGTCCAACAGGCAGAAACTTCAACTGTGTCCAAAGTCCTCCCTCAGTACCCACACTGTCACCTACAGACCTGACAGCTGGCTTAAGCTGGCTGCATGGAAACACCTACAGAGAACAGTTTACGTACTAGTAGTATATACCGCCAGAATTGTGACTCCCAAAGAACAGCACAAAGCACTTGCTTTGATCTCTTACTAAAAAGAACCCAAAATGCAAAAACGTAAATTGAGAATATTAAGTTGTTTGATCTGTTCAAGATGTTTTCCTTTTCCTCCTGACAATGCTGACAGGAAACTAATGACACTTACTTCCCTGCATTACATTCCAACCTCTGTAAATATGTAAAGTTTCTTTCCTAGTCAAAGTACTGCCTCCCAGCCTGAATCCTGGAATTGGCTCCAGTTCTTCAAAGATGAAAGACATGCCGAACCCTGCTACCACACAGACAAACGTGATACAGTGAAGCTTGGGAGTTTACATACAACTCTGCAATGGAAATTAAGAAAGCTTGATAAATTCAGATCATTTTAGAAGGTCCTAACTTGAGAAAGGCAGAATAGTTTTTAAATACCAGTCCAAAAATCACAGCAAGGGGGACAATCACAGGTATCTCTCTTTGTTGTTTGACAACTATAAGCTCCACAAAACCAACTTGAATTTACACAAAGAATCTCATAAACTGTCTTCACATTGTAAGAGGTATTTAGATCAGGTACGTTCCCAATCCTGGACAGCAGAAATTAATGTTGCTCAGCACTTTTCAAGAACACATACATTCATGCTAGTCAAGAAAATTACACAAATATTTGTTCAACCTGTTGTATGTTACATTAACCTGGATTTCTCCAAATCAAGCATACTTTCCCTGAAGGTTTTAACTTTTATATTTATTATTACACTTATGGCAGAAGACTGTAGGACCCACCCATATGCAAATAGCACACCAATGGATGAAGAAACCTGAATAAAATAAAAAAAAAAAAGACTCACAGTAAGAATAATGCATGCATATATATTTGTAACTGTGGGCAGTTCCAAGGATAATCTCCCATGGATGAAAAGCAATTGCAGAAACAACTGCCTTCACAGAATCACACTCACGCAGGCATTTATTGAATCTTACCTAATGATTTTGTGGGCAAGAGTATTTCCTAAAGTGATCTATGAACCTCTTGCTGTTTTCTGGCTGAAAAAACACTCAGTAATCTAGGTTGTATCTGCAAGACTAAGATTTTCCACCAATGGATATATGTGAATTTAGTTTACAAGCTCTAATAAATCACTTGCCAAACGCAGCCATTTTTTGTATACTGAGCAAACGTTATTTCAATATGTTGTTCTACAGGAAAAAGCCTTAGCAAGAATTTTCAATTAAAATTCCAATCAATGGAATTAAGCACACATCTCTGATGACAAAGTCTTTCGTGCCTTTATTTGGCTGAAAACCCTTGGGGAAAGCAACTTTATTCAGTCAGTCTCTCACAAGAAACAAAAACAATTACTATTAGACCATCAGCTGCCTTTCGACTAGTCAACAAGTGTATTTGATGCCTTAGTCTCTGAAAACAGATCTTGGCTTGAGGTCTCACAGCTAGTTCTTCTTACCACTTGCTTCTACAATTACAGAATGATCATGGGAAGCTAAGGCTCAAAGGTGAGCCAGTAAGTAGTACTGCCTAAAGCAATACTAAGGTAGGCACATTTATCTGCTCAGTTATTACTGAGCAGAAAGGAAAGATGAGTTCCATTTTTCCTGTGGGGAGAAAGCTTACAGCCCACAGCACATTGCTGCAAATGTTAACATGGGGTCTTCTCTACATTAACTTTCCACACTGAGCAAAGAGCAGCACTGTAAACAGACAGGAGCTTGGTATTAACTGACAGTTTGCCATTAAATCAATTGGTACCAGAGATAAATCACACAGATGTCAGCTGGCTGCACAGCTGGGCTGAGGAGGTCTCCTTCCAGACACGGGGCTGGTCATAGCATCAGCACAAGGTTGGTCACACACTGCTTACCTGAGACAAAAACCCTCACAGCTTGTTTTCCGTAAGCATCTGTGTGTCTTTAACTCATACTTTCTGGACCATGTTTACTAGTTCTGCAATTAAGATTAATATAAAATCTATTGCTTCATCTGATCCCACTGACTGCAAACTCCAAGATGGAAATTCACTCTCCTCTTTCTATTGTTCATCATCTAGAATAAGTCAGAGACACCAAATCAGAAGACACTGCTGAAATCAAGATTATACATATCATGAAATCAATTCTCTCCTACTAATAAAAGGTATTTTTATTAGTAATGGAAGCATGAATTAACTTGCATTAACAATGCCCTTGTAAAGAAACACACATGCACACTGGCTTCAATAGCTTTTTTTAGCGTATTGGGCACAAATAGCAAGGTTTAGGTTGCAGAGGGACTGCAGGAGCAGCCTCTGTGTGAGAAGGTCAGGTGCTGCCCTGAGCCAGACATAGCCACTTCCCCAACAGACTCACTGCTGGCCACTTCTGTGAAAAAAAAAAAATAAATTTAACAAAGGGCAGAAAACGACAAGGACAAAGGAACAAGCATAAAAGAGAGCAGCAAAGAGAAGAACAGCGGAAACAAGGAAATGAGAGAAGAGTAAGGTCAGGAGAGTAGGAGGTGCTCCATGTTGTCTTTGTTTCCTAATACCCAAGTTAGTGGTGAAATGTTTGTGTTAATTGGTAACAAATTAAATACTTGCTTTCTTCAGAGGGTATACAACCAAGCATCAAATAAACAGACACCAAAACATTTATCCTTTATTATCAGTAAGAAACTGCAGACAACCAATGTGCTAGAAGTAACAAGAAAAGACAGACGCTATCCCATCAGAAGTTACGCATTTCCTTTTGCCGATCTGTGTGTACTGCTGTGGTGTACCAGTGCATCCCTTTCCTTCCTCTCCCTTCCTTCATTTGTTATCTATTTATAACCTGTGCTTACTTTGTCAGTTTTCCTCAAATACACATCTGTCTCTGCCATTTTTCATAAAGCAACTCATACCACTGGTACTCAAAGAACAATATGATAAAAAAACCTGATCAGACAGAAAGGAATTTAGGAAAGGATTTTCTTGATTACGACCAAGTGTATTTATAGCATCGTTTGATAACAGCTAATGATGGCACAGAAATTGTTCTGCCCACCTTGAAAACGTAATTATTTCCAGGGTAGTACAGGACAACCACTTAATTTACAACAGTATTCTTAAATTGTGAAAGGAAGGAAACGCAGACTATTGTGTCCAACTGTAATTGTAGTAGTCTTCAAGCATCTTGGCAAAATACAATTATTTAATTACCATTTGCATAAAGTAATTATTTAATCATTTTTCTACCCAACAAATGCATCCTTCTGTTTCAGAACCAAGAACGGGACCTCTAACAGCACCGATGCGTTGGCTATGCAAAGGTTTAGCACTGATCTTTCTTCAGTTTTGTGACCAGTATAATTTTATGTGGCATCACCCTATTTCTTCCATATTTGCCATGCAAGTGGTGATCCTGCCCATTTATACTTCCT